TATATATATATATATATATATATATATCATACAGTATTTATTATATTTATATATTTATTAATATTTTGAATTAGCTTTTATTTTTTAGTTTTCATTAGTTTTAGTATTTCTTTATGCACTCGTATCATTTTTAGTATTTTTTTTAATTTAAATTATTTTTATTTCAGTTTTAGTAACTAGCACTTATTTTAGTTAGTTGCCATTGCAAAAAAATAAATCATCTAATATTTTTCTTTATTTCAGCCTAATTTCAATTTCAGTTTTACTTTTAGTTATAGTCAACATTAACAACACTGGTTAGGGACTAATTCAAATCAATTATAAGTATTAATAATCAATAAGTATTAACACTATTAAACCAACAACCAAAACCAAAATATGGTTTAATATTGTATAAATAAAAGCTAGCTATCCACTGACTAATCAGACATGGATTTATTTTTCCTATTATGAACGTTGCCACAGAAACAAATCATTTTAGAGTCCAAGGACTTCAGTTTCATAATTCAATATGACATGAATGCAGCATAAATTCAACATGCTTTAGGAAAACCTCCTGTTTTAAGTTCAAAGTATCATTCAGCATCTTCCTTTCCCTCAGTTTGTGATGCCATTTTACAGCAAATATGGCATCCATGACTATTAACCCTGCAACAACGATGGCTACTTTCAATAAAACAGATGAATATGACTGCTGTGACAGCTGAATGCTTTGTGAAGCGGTAATGTGCATTAAATCATTCAGACAGGTGCATGACAGAGTGTCAGGTGCAGATAAAGAAGAGAGCCCTACATGTTCATGTCTATGATTGTTTTGGCTCTTGTGGAGGCGACAGGTTTATATATCTGAAGTAGGACGTGACTTGTTGTGGTAATTCTGCCAGTACACATTGGGCAAGCATTTCCCTGGGCGCCTGAAATGAAATGGACACAAAGGCACAGGTGAGATGCAACAAGCCATAACATGTGGTAGATATATGGGACCAAAACATTATAAATATAAGTTTGTGTTGTGTTCGGCTCTGCTCAGTGTCTACTGGCATAAACAATTATGAAAAGGGTTGGGAACTTGTCCGATAAAAAAAATACAAAAATAACAGAACCGAGAGTTTTCGCATGTTCATTAAGGCTCATTCACACCGAGAGCGATAACTATGTTAGAGTCCACATAAACGTACGCCTTTTACTCACAGATGCGTACTGAACGCAGTTAACACCACTACCAAATCTATAGCGCGAATCATACAGAACAACAGGTGGACTCCGATTCCCGAACAAATGACTCTTATGAGCTGGTCATTTTTAGTGAATCAAAAACTGGACCAGAGTAATCCAAATGACTCCTGAACAAATTACTCTTATCTGCTGGTTATTTTTAAATGAATCAAAAACTTACAGCGTGACCAGCATAATCCAAATGATTCTTGAACAAATTACTCTTATGAGTTGGTTATTTTTAAGTGATTTAAAAACAAAGTGTGACCAGTGTAATCCAAATAAATGACTCCCATGAGCAGGTTCTTAGTGAATCAATCACTTTTCATCCGTGTGACGGAAACTAGTGGATACTGATTGCTTTTTCACATCTTTTAGTTAAAAGATACAGTAGTATTTAAAAAAATATAATAAAATTATGAAATTTGTTACCTCATCTTTTGTTTGATTGTGTTATGTAATACACAATTATATCTATGCTACCCTTAAAAAAACTAAATTTCATTCATTCAGACCGTGATACTTTTTGCAAGAATGGTTGCTATGGGGTGGAACATTTCCAAAAGTTATATATATATATATATATATATATATATATTGCATCTTTCCCAAAAAGACTCATGGCTGTATTAGATCAAAAGGGTGCTTCTACTAAATACTGAGCAAAGGGTCTGAATACTTAGGACCATGTGCTATTTCAGTTTTTCTTTTTTAATAAATCTGCAAAAATGTCAACAATTCTGTGTTTTTCTGTCAATATGGGGTGCTGTGTGTACATTAATGAGGAAAAAAAATTAACAAATGATTTTAGCAAATGGCTGCAATATAACAAAGAGTGAAAAATTTAAGGGGGTCTGAATACTTTCCGTACCCACTGTATATATATATACACGCATATAATATAAAAAATGAACTGTTAAAGAACCATAAGTGTTAAGAAGATTTGAACTATGAACTAAATTGATAATTGCAATCCCCATCCCTAATTTTTTTACCTTTACCTTTTTTATTTTTTTATGCAAATAAAATGTTAAAAATAAACATATAGGCCTCATATATGTTTACATCAATGAAAATAAACACATAAACAAACATGAATGATACTCCATGATACACCAATTACGTAGTTCTTTTTTCTTCAAAATGGCTGTAAAAATACTACAGTATGCAGCAAAACAAAATAATAGAATCCAAAATAAGATCTTAGAAAACACCTAGAGCTGCAAGAGATAGGCCCCAAAAAGGAAAAAGCCAAAGCAAGAGCAAGCCCAAATTAGCTGTGTACTAAACTCCTCAGACTGGTTTTTCACTCACGTTCTGGAACTTTCTGAAGGGCACAAACTGCACAATGTCACGTACGGCCGGTTCTCCCGTGATAGACCTCAGTCGCCCGTCATCTCCGTCCAGAATCTCCATATCTGTGAAGTCGGCTTTGCCTACGCCCACAATGATGATTGACATGGGCAAGCGGGAGGCGGCAACTATGGCTCCACGCGTCTGGTCCATGTCCGTGATCACTCCGTCCGTGATAATCAGCAGGACAAAGTATTGCTGAAACAGATAGGGGCGGAGTCAGAAAGACATAAAGCGTCAGTGCATAAAATATTTGGGTTTGGGTTGAATCTCACCGATGCTGTGTTCTGCTGTAAAGCCTGCTGTGCGAAATGAGCCATGTGGTTAATAATGGGAGCAAAGTTCGTAGGCCCGTAAAGTTTGACCTGAGGAAGGCACATCCTGTAGGCCTCCACCACACCCTCCACACCTATAAGAAGAGAAATGCAACTTCCTGGTTATACACATAATTTCCTGTCAAGTGCAGGGGGTTGAAGACTGATATTGTGACATACCAGCACAGAATGGATTTGTGGGATTGAAGTTGAGAGGAAACTCATGAGACACCTGGAAAAAACAACCCTTAGTAAACTGAAGCTTCTGGGAGTTTGTCACAGCAACAACAGCAGATGTAATTTCATCTACCTGCCATGAAGGTGGAATCTGGGCGCCAAATCCAAACGCAGGAAACATTTTATCACTACAGGATATGAAAGAAAGAATAAAAGTGAAAGTGACGTGACATGTGGCCAAGTATGGTTACCCATACTAGGAATTAGTGCTCTGCATTTATCCCATCCTAAGTGCACACACACAGCAGTGAACACACACACCGTGAACACACACCCCGAGCAGTGGGCAGCCATTTATGCGGGAGCAGTTGGGGGTTCGATGCCTTGCTCAAGGGCAACTCAGTCGTGGTATTGAAGGTGGAAGAGAGCGCTGTACATTCACTCCCCCCACCTACAATTCCTACCGGACCTGAGACTCGAACTCGCAACCTTTGGGTTATTAATTGATAGTCTGATGAATAAATATATTGCTAGTGTCCTTGTACCTGTCATAGTCCTGGACCACGAGGCCAACTGACCAGATGGCTGAGAGATATTCATTCACACCTTGAGGACTGATGTAATGTAAAGAATCAGGTGACCTGGGGTCACCATTTGACCCTGTGAAGTCTATGCCCACCTAGAAGAAAGATGTGAAGCACATGGGTATGACACGAGTAACCATGCTTCAACATGAAGGAATATAATTCATAGACATAATATATGCTGTATAATTCTATGTGAGTATGTCTGTCTTTTTATATATCATAACTAAAATAATAGATAAATATTTCATTTACATTCAAATAAAAAAAATGTATTTAGTATTATTATTGTTGTTTTTATAAATCATATAATATAATATATATTATAAAATATTGTTCCAACATAAATGAATTCTGAGACATAATATATACAAACATAATCCTAAATAATAATATAAAAATAATTTATATTAAAACATAAAAATGTATTTATTATTGGCTATAATTATTGTTTTTATAATAATACACTGATATAGCTTTTGAAATATATATTATAAAATATTACTACTATTTATCTATACTAAATTAAACAAATAAATAAAAAGATAATAAATAAATAAAACAATTATTACTTATATTGTAAATTGTATATTGTATTTATTATTTAGTATGATTTATTTTTATAAAAAGAGTAGTTTTGTATTTATATTATAAAATTTAGAATATTTTTTTATATTTAATTTAAAATATTGCTCCAACATGAAGGAATTTATTTATTTTATAGATACATAATACATGCAATATTATTATAATAAACAAACAAATAGAAAAATGAAGTCTAGAGAAGAATATTTTGAGAAATGTTAGACTATATACTTAATTATATTTGACTTGTTACCTGTTAGTGATGTCTTAATTATTTAATGTGTTTAAATAAACATTTATGAAACAAGTTATGACAGTCACTGTGTAAATGATTATATTTCAACAACAAATAGTAATTGTATCATTTAGAAGTTAATTCAAAAACGGCATTATGTGCAATTTACATGTTTGCAAAGGCTACAAATTTTGAATTTGAATGTTGGTTATTATAGTTAAAAATAAACAGTAATTGAATATAAGTTTGGGCTCTGTTGTTAATTGTAACATTATAGTAGGCTAATGTAAAAGGGCTCCCTACATTTTTGTGAAAAAATAAATAAATAGTTAATGACTTACAGTGAAATTTATCTGGCAGCCTCCCATGATGTAGTCCAAAAAAGTGTATTCCCTGGTAATCTGAGACAGCAAACACAATCATGTCTAGAAATGTTTGCATTGGGTTTAATATTGAATGTTGAGAATAAAATCAGACGAGTGTGTTTATGTGACACAGTACCTGACAAACCTTCACACTCACGACTCCAGAGTTCTTATAATTTTTCTTCTTCTGTTTCTTTTTACTGTTTATGCACTCAAACTCTGCCTGCAGGACAAAAATCAGCTTCCTTAGTTCAGAAACATTCAGACATTCATTAGGTAATGAAATCAAAATTGCGTTGAGGATCATCTCACCGGAGCGCTGCGGGATGCCTCTTGCAGACGCTTCATATTGGTCTCAAAAATCCCTATCAAATCATGAGATCCATCGTTGTCATAATCGTAACATTCAATCTAAAGAGGGTTGAAAATACAGCATGAAGTGATCTGAAGTGAATGAGATTAGAGGGTAAAAGAGGAGAATTTAGAGAGGTCATGCAAAAAGTCCATCAAATGAAGAACCATAGCACAGGTCTATTGGTCTCTTCATTCAAAAATTAGTAAGACACCACCAGAACAGCACACCAAACAGGATATCTCTGAATGAATAGATGAAAGATGTTGGATGCCCTGCCACTTTCCACTGCCCACATTTCATAAGGTTAGATATATATGGAAGCCCGTTTCCGCCACTGAATAAAAAAATTAAAAAGTTAATTGTGACTTTTTATCTCATAATTCTGACTTTTTTTCTCATAATTGCGTGATACAAACTCACAATTCTGACTTTTTTTTCTCCGAATTGCGTGATATAAACTCGTAATTGCGTGTTATAAAGTCAGAATTGCGAGATATAAACTCGTCAGAATTGCGTGATATAAACTCGTAATTGCGTGTTATAAAGTCAGAATTGCGAGATATAAACTCGTCAGAATTGCGTGATATAAACTCGTAATTGCGTGTTATAAAGTCAGAATTGCGAGATATAAACTCGTCAGAATTGCGTGATATAAACTCGTAATTGCGTGTTATAAAGTCAGAATTGCGAGATATAAACTCGCAATTCTGAGAACATATCAGTCCCCTCCCCCCTCAAAATTAAACTTTAACTCGCAATTGCGTGCTATAAAGTCAGAATTGCGAGATATAAACTCGCAATTGCGAGTTAAAGTCCAATTTTGAGGGGGGCGGGGACTGATATGTTCTCAGAATTGCGGGTTTTTATCTCTGACTTTTTTTGTCGCAATTCGGACTTTTTTTTTCCCAATTTTTTTCGCAATTGCGAGAAAAAAAGTCAGAATTGCGAGTTTTTATTTTACATTAACTCTGTTTTGTGTAATGCAGAAGAAAATTAAAATATCTCAAATTTTTCAAGTAAAATAAAACATTTAAAAAATGACAATTAATTATATAAAACTTAAAATTTTCATTTGTACTCCATGACTTCCTACTGAAATACAGTAGCTAATAGCATTCTGAAAAGTTATATTATTTGATTTACAGCAACTCTAGTTAATATGTAATGCAAAATAAATAAAAATATTTTTTATGTAAAATAAAACATTTAAATAATTACCATAAATCATATACAATTAAAATTTTCATTTGTACTCCATTACATAGTATTCATTAACAGTATTCTGAACTTAGTTATTTATTTGATTTACAGTAACTGTTTAATATGTAATACAAAATAAATAAAAATATATATAATTTTATAAGTAAAAAACATGTATTTAATTACAATGAATTATATTCAATTAAAAAATTACAATTATTAATGTAATAACATAATTTATATATGTTATATAATGTTTATGTTATACATTTACATCATGCTTTTACTGCTTATATAAGCTACATGTTTTTTCCCCACAATGCTTTATCCAAAATAATGGGGTTTGACAGAAAGTCCCTCCAGTTTGTGTTCAACAATATTATTAGACCTTTAGCCTTATTAATTCACCTTTCATTCATTACTTTTATAACAATTTTTGTAACTATTTAGTTATGGTTTCTTTAAAGTTCAGATTTAACCTTTCAAATTGTAAGGTTTTAAAATGCACAGATACAAATGCCACTGTTTCCTGAGAATGACCCTACTAGCTAAAGACTTCAACACATGAAAAGGGTTGAAATGACCTCATTCAGGAAACAACAGTTGGACAGAATAGCTCTATACTGATCTATGAAGGACAAACCAGCAGCTATTCAGTGACACACACATTTACAAACGAAACAGCCGTTCTGATGAAAAATACCTGCTCTTTCCCCGACAGTCAGTCTCCCTTTAAGATGCTTTTGCAAGAAAAATCACAAAAGTCATGAACACTGATTGTAAGCCACCAAACACCCTCTGACTGACAAACCAAAGCAAAGCCAGAGTTTTACAGCCTCTCCACAGTCAAGCCAGAACAATTACAGATCGTTAATCCATGAGGCCAGCCTTTTATATGACACTTGTGTTAGCAACAGAGAGCTTTTTAATGTTATAAAATAACTTTTATAACTGCCAGTGAACACAGACTCTACCTTGATTGGTTTCTGCATGTCTCCTGCACAGAGAGACCGTAGAGGGATTTTAAAAGGCTTCCAGCAAGGATTCAAGTTATTCTTCACCACCTGGTATGAAAGATAACCATTAACATTCACAATAAACATTAACAACAACCATTCAGAGAGTTAATACTCCACATCTAAACAAACACACAACACACAATGCACCTCAGTTCTGTGAGCAAGCTGCCAGCCTGTTTCCGTCTGCCTGTAAAATTCCAGGTAGGGGTCTGATTTTCCAAAGAAATCCTGCAAGGAAACCCAAATTTAGACACTGAATGCATTTTACAGTTTAAAAGTAAAGCAAACTCACATCTCATGTCTTACCTTATTGTCCAGTTTTCTGGCCTCCATCTCAAAATTCACTACTCTGTTGTCCTTGATTTCCTCTGCACTGATCTGAAGTGAATATAAATATACAAATATTTGCTGTTTAATCTTTTATAACTGGTTTAGTGAGTAAGGACGTATTAAATTGATCAAAAGTGACAGTAGGGGTTTTTAAATATTTCTATTTCAAATAAATTCTAGTCATCAAAGAACTGTTTCAACAAAAATATTAACTAGCACAAAAAAATTCTGAACATTGATAATAATAATAAATGTTTCTTGAGCAGCAAATCAGCATATTTTCTGAAGGATCATGTGACACTAAGGACTAGAGTAATGATGCTGAAAATTCAGCTTTACATCACAGGAATAAATTACATTTTAAAAATAACGCAGTTATTTTAAATTGTAACGATATTTCACAATATTACTGATTTTACTGTATTTTTGACTAAATAAATGCAGCCTTGTTGAGAAAAAGAGACTTTTAAAAAATCTGTATTATATAATAATGTAAAAATCTGTATTATATATTAAAACAGTCCACCATCAATTATTTCCACAATAAGCTGATGTTCTTTATGTCACAACAACTTTATGGAAAAATATTATTCTCTAGCAACCACATCTAGAGTAAATATGATGAAATATCATGGACATTCACCGTAATCGTTCCCTTTCCTGCAGGTTTTTTGTTCTTCAGCACCAAAGGTCTCGTCAGCTTGCTACTGGAAACAATCTGTGTAGAAATAAAAAAATTAAAAAACACATCAGACAATGTCACGGAGGAAAAAGTACTTCAAAACATGGATGTTTAGGATCTTTGGTTGTCTTACCTGTCCCAACGAGCACTCGAACTCACCCAGGAAGTCGTCATCGCTCAAATCGATGGTTTTATTGTCAATATCGTAAAGGCAGAATCTGAGTTTCTGAACAACCTCAAAGTAGTAATCGACAACAAACTTCTTGGCAAATTTTGGGCTTAAGCAGTTCTTAACCCTCTCAGTGCGATCGACCTATGAAACAAAACATTCCAATTCCCAAATATGCACAGGCATTCGCATAGATATTTGAACTATTTGCACAACAAACAACAAGTGACCTGACCTCAAACCACTGGTTTCCTGATGTGTTCATGAGCAGGACACACAGCGGGTCGGATTTGGACCCCACATCCATGTCCAGCAGGTTTTCACAGGAGACCGTCAGCTCCACCTTGGTCACACACGACGTTGCCATTGGACTGATCTGTTTACATGAAAACTTGGTGAATGTGCCATGAGAACTGAAAGCTTTTGAAAAGCTTTTTTGCCACAAACTTGTAGATAGTCATAGGAACAATCCAGTGGTTTCTGTATTTCCCTTTGTGTTCGATAACATTGCATGCTGTGGCCTCTGTAACCACTATTTAAGTAGGCCAAACTGCAATATATATATATATATATATATATATATATATATATATACAGTCGTGCGCGTGTATATATATATATATATATATATATATATATATATATATATATAATAATGGACTCAATTTCATAGGGCTAGTTGTTAGCACCTAGACATGTACTGGTTGAAAACACTGTGACAGAGTAAGTTTTAGTTTCCCACGCTACTTATTTGTTTAAATAGCCTAACTTGTCAGAACACATTCTGATTGAATCAGACCGGTTCTGTATCTAAAGAATGACAATGTGTTTAGTTTAGAATCAATAATGGATTTATTTAGTGTCGCTGATGTTGTTTCATTTTAAATAGTTGTTTATTATGAACTAATAATGGTGACTAGCATTCACTCTGCTCAAATAAATTCATAGCAGACTCTGATTTAGGTCATATCTCATTTGTACTCTATACAGTCTATACTATATTCATTTGTACTCTATAATGTTGCTTGTTTGTTTTTTTCAAAGCCCATTTCATTTAAATGAACAATTGGAAACAACACTATTTTGCAAATCTTAAGTCAACTTGCAACTAGTTGCAACATAACTGTTCACACAGATTACTCAAGTCTCTCTAAGGCAAATAATGTATTTAAATTGTGTTGTGTATGAAAGTATATTGAGTAGGAAACTTGAATAATATATTCAACATAGGTTTACACTGTAAGATTCTGTAAGATTTATTTATTAGCAGTTGTTTTATTTAGACAATATGTAGTCTGTTTTTGTATTTTCTCTACATTATATATTTTTATACAATACAATTTTAACTATATTTTTTGCTGCAACTTTGTAATTATAATGGTAACACTTATTAGTTGGTATTAGTTAATGCATTAACTAAAATGAGCAATAAATTTGATACAGTACTTATTAATCTCATTAATTTTAGTTAATGTTATCTCAGGTTCTTTAAATAATATTAGCAGAAACAACTTTTGATTTTAATAATGTATTAGTAAATTAACATTAACTGAGTTTAATAAATTCTTCAGAAGTATTTTCCATGTGAACAAATGGAACCTTACTACTTAAGGTGTTTTCATTATAATACTGTATATCAGTTTATTTAAATGGCTAACCAGTTATACTTTGTATTATAACATAATAATAATATTATAAAATAATATTTTAGTGTATAATCTTACTTTAAGAGTGAATTATATAGTAGTCTGATTGATAGGTGGTGTTTTCGTGCAGAAGGGTGTGTGTGCTTGGGCAGAATGAGCTGTAGGCTACAGTAATTTAAACAGAAACCTTGAGCATGAGAGGAGGTATGTGAGGAGTCACTGTGCGATTCTGTGTGGGAGGAACAATGGAGGCTCTTGAATGCAAAACTTGACTTAATATCAGTGCTGTCATTACATGTCAGATCTCACCACTGATCATAGATTTCTAAGACGTTTTATAGGTGGTTATTAAGTGAAATGGCATTTAAGTTATTTACCCATACTGAACGTAGGGTACTATCAAATGGTAATAGAACACAAGTTTTCCTATACACTTAGTACTACATGATCAGCATATTTGTGTACTATGGTATGTACATAAACTCCAAGGTACTTCCCAGAATAACTGGTACATATCCAAAAGAAACATGGTATTACCCTGGTATTATTATTACTAGCATTAAGCTATGCAGAAACATATTCACTTAAATTACGCAAAAAAAAAAAAAAAGTATAATCAAACAAAAATAGGAAAAAGTTCTGCTTCTCTCATCTATCAGCATAGTCTCCAATAATAAATTTAGCCTACATGCTATAAAAACCTTTTTTCTTTTGCATTTATGAAACATATGGAATGCATCTTTATTTACCGTGACGTCATCATCTGTTTTGCCGTTACGCTCATATAGCTATGGAAATAACTGCATCAACTACAGCAACACTGTAAGGTAAGGATCTCGATTTTATGCCACTAAAAGTAACGTTATGAATATCTTACCTTGAATCGTTAGTAGTTGGCGTCTGACTGCGTAACTGCGGTACTAATTTCGGTTTAGTCTGGTTTATTTTTCCTGGTGTTTCAGTCTCCTCGATGTTGGGAAGCCTGCTGTTATAAATGTTGTTAGAAATAACAACCGAGTCCCTAAAATCTAATGTAAAGCGTCTGTTTTGATCCGTTCTTGCGTCGCCCCTCTGACGGTAAACTGCGCATGCGCAGTCGAATAGGAAACTACTCTGACAGCCGCAGCTAGTGGGAGTGTCTACACACAGATACAAAGATTGTTTGTTTTTGGCTGTTAAATTGTATCTGTAAAATTTATCTTGAACATTTCGAAATTATTTCTTAAATTACATTACTTAAATGAACATATGGTTAATCTAAACTATTTTTTAAATGTTTTATGTTTTAATAACCGGACTTGCTTTGTGCCTCTTGAGTAATCGTAAGAAATCAAAATACACTATTTCATGTACTAAAATGCTAAGACGTCATTATTCTATTGGTCCAAATGTCTTAAAAATTAGCATGAAATACACAGAGAACATTTAAAAGTAATTCTGTATTACAAAAACAATTATATTTAAAAACTTAATTTTCTGTAAAGCTGCTTTGCAACGATTTGTATCGTGAAAAGCTCTATACAAATAAACTTGAATTGAACTTGAAGTTACAGTGATTAATAACTGCACTGTGAAACATTTCCAAACACAGATCCCTCAACATAAAAAGCAACAACAAAACGCCACCAAACGGAGAGCTAGATACATTTATTTAAACAAAAGCTAAAGATAAACATAAAACTGTGCTGATAGTCTCAATGGAAACTCTGAAGGGCTGTACCACTTGAAAAAAACACCAGGAAGGATTCAAGAATATATTTGTTACGAACAATATTTCATTTTTGTTATAATATTTGGTATATTTAGTTACATTTTTTTAACTGAACTTTGGATTAATATGCTATAAACACAAAAACACTTCATCTATATAACACATATCGGTTTATCCTATATTTATTACAGTAAGTATATACAGTAGCTATATTCATATCAGTTGTGGAGCTGGTGTGTTTGTGAATGACTCATATAAGCGGTCCTTTGATATTAAATTAAATATTTCTCTTAAAGTAGATACAGTAAATATTTGAAATATATAATCCAATTGTCAATATAAAATCTTTAAAAAAACGCCTAATGAGAATAGGCAGTGCTGGTCTACTGTTCAATTTTCACAGAAGATATAAAACACACATATGGCACAACAATATTTTACAGTAAAACAGAATCAAAACAGATAGCAGCAGTCTAGTGTGCCACTAAATTGAATTGGACTTTCCAGCGTATATTTGCTTTAGACTGTCCAGCTCTTCTGTCATTTTCTGCTTCTGGTTTTCAATGATGGCGATGCGCATCTCTAAGCTACGCACATAGTCCTTCTTCCTGCGTCTGTACTCTTTGGCCGCCGTCCTGCAAAAGCACAAGCAACAAGGGCAACACACCACATTGACTGGCTCTGGAGCACTCGGGTCTCCAGCGTACACACATGCACACGTCACATAACACAACCATGCAGCTATCACCTTATCCGATTATTATTGTTACGAGCGGTGGCTAGACATTACGTGAAAAGCACGTTTGCTCTGTAAAGGGTATAGTCTTTCGTGTTTTGGTTTGCAATGGACTGTTGTTATTCGGTTTTGTGACAGTATAGGTCTTTAAGAGCCTTGAGTTCTTCAATAAGCGTCTTGTTTTGTTTTTCAAGCACGGCGACTCGGTTCTCGAGACATTTGACATATTCTTTCTTCTTCCGCCGACATTCCCGGGCGGCTTCCCTGGAAGCAACAACAGAGAAGCTCTGTGAGCGTGAATACTGTAAATCTTACATTGTGTTTACAGGTCCCACTTCATGCAAGTCAGAACTGCAGAGCTTGTAAAAGCAAGTCCAAACCGGGAAAACCTGAGTTGTGAATGAGTGGTTTTTTAGTTGCATGTATAACGCAAATGATTCCACAGGCTTGGTTTTTCCATTCTAAGCATCGTCATGAAACAAAGAAAGCTTTTAGCACATGCTCCACACACTGAGACATCATCAAGCATGATGCATTGATAGGCTACAAGCAAAGAATACAAGCCTTTGACCTCATCAGAAGTTGAAAGCAGACAAATGGATGCAACTGAAGAACATGTAAGGCCTCAGGTGCAGAAAGAACTGAGGAAAAGACCAAGCAACACACCAAGATGGACTGCAATGAGCTGCTATAATGATTTCATGCTCTTAGGCTACAGAATGCAGTAGTGATTCTGGAATAGGGAAGGGCGGCTGGGCAATACCTGTTTTTCATCAGTCGGAGTTCCCTCTTATGTGATGCTTCCTCAGTCAGCTGCTGAGGGCTTGGCAGAGAGCCGGGTGAGCCGTCCATTGCCTGGGAAAGGCCAGATGCAGGAGAGGAAATCTGATACGCAGACATACCTCCAGTGGTGGCTGCAAAAACACACCAACACGTTAGTTAACAGAGGAACAGTTCCCAATATTTTCAAATACATTATTTTACAGAACATTGACTGCATATTTTGTGTTTCCATCACCGCTAACAAGGATTTTGTTGCTGGCCCAGTCAGGCCAGTAGTTCAGATTTGTTCATGTTCAGAATATTTTCATTGACCTTACCACAAAAATATTTCAATATTTTTAATTTTCAATAAATTGTACAGTAACCGTTCTTTACAAAAGAATAAAACTGTTTAACCAACTAGCACAAAACTCTCTCATCATTTTTGCAAGCCCAGCACCTGCAATATTTAATCAGTGAAAGGAAGTGTGATATTGTGGTTATTGTTATGGCTGTTTTGGGTGTTATAGCCATGCTATGATATAACAACATTTTTCAAACAATACATGTCACAAAAGGAAGTGTATAAAAGCTTTTTGGTGCCAATAGATTAAGTAAGCAGAGGTGTAAAGAGTATCCAAAAACCATACTTGAGTAAAAGTACTGATGCCTTACAGTGAAAATTACTCCACTACACGTTACAAGTCACCAATTCCAAAACAACTTGAGTAAAAGTCTTAGAGTATCTGATTTTAACAGTACTTAAGTATTTACTTATACTAAATATAGGCTCAAAGATGCACTAGTCAAAGAGACATGCCAGTGAAAAACTATAATGTTGCGGAGAAGCTGGGGAAAAAGGCAGAGGCAAGGATTTATGTGCAGGTATTTAATTGGTAAACTAGAACAAACAATAAGCCAAAAACCAAAGGGAACAAAGAACAGAATGACTGGCAAACAGACAAACATTACATTTGACAACTCACAAGGAACTAAAGAAAAACTAAGGCTATATATACACAAAGGGGGCTAACAAGCTTAAAGTCCCCATGAAATCAAAATTAAAGTTTTTTGGGTGTTAGTATCAATATGTTAGTCTTAAGGTTATCTATAAGGCAGTGTGCTCCAAAACAGTGACAAAATTCGCATTTAGAAGATATAAGCATTCAAAGCTTGCAGTTTGTCACTTCTGCCAAAACGGCTCAACAATTTTTTTGACGTTGCATCGTACTTCAGCTTCTCATCAAACGAAGGGAGGCACACCTGTTGACTCTTGTGGAGTTGCTCTGATGGCCATGAGCACCAGGGGCAGTTTCACATCCCAGTCCTTTTGGTTAGCAGACACATATTTTCTTAGCATGCTGACCACCGTCCGATTTGTTCGTTCCACTTGGCCCGAAGAAATTGGATGGTGACTGATGTTCAGTTGTGCTTGTACTCCCAGAAGTTTCCAAATCTGCTGCATGATCTCTCACGTCTTTTGTAGCAGAAATAAACTTCTGCAGAAAAAGCTAGGTCCATGCAAAATGTAATGTGTAACTGCAACACTCATTTCAAATGTAGTCGAGTAAAGAGTACAGATACTCATTAAAAAATGTAGTTTAGTAGAAAGTAAAAGTTGCTAATATCTTTGATACTCAGTACAACTACAAAGTATCCAAAAAGATACTCAAGTATACAGTAACTAATTACATTTACTCCAATACTTTACACCTCTGTAAGTAAGTACGTAAAGAAAGAAAGAAAGAAACAAAAGAAAGAAAGAAAGAAAAAAAGAGAGTTAACATTATACTACAACAAGAACAACTAATTATTTTTCAGAACATTTACTGAAAGCATTTCTCCTATTTCCGATAACATGCACTACAAAATTCCAGATTGTCGAGAATGAGTGAAAACCCTGGCAGTTTCCAATAAACATGTCATGAGGCAAAGATGAATGACTTAATTCCTTTGACAT